CTTAGCAAAAATTAGCAGTCTAAGAGTTTTCTAGGACAGTTCTGCAATAAAAAATTAAGTATTGGAAATTATAGTAAAGTACTGAGTTCATCTTTAAAGTACCTGAACAATTTACTTCATGAACACATAAAAAAGGTTAGTGTTTACAAGTTTCATATAGCCATTAAAATTTACGTTATTCGGGTTAGTTGGAGTGTTTCAATAATATCAAGTAGGTTTGATTTAAGACTTTCACAGCATATTTCAATTCATAAAAAAAAAGACGCAGTATTTAATCATTTTTGAAACAGTGAAACTTTTCTACCTTACTTGAGTGACTGAAGTACAATTGGTGTAACTCTACATTCCAAGAGTTGTCTTATGTTCAAACTATACCGTGTGATATGTTAATGCACTAAGGCGAGTTTTATTAAATTGTTAAACATCTTTTGAGATTAATTATAATGATGACTGTTTTAGTTAAAGTTAAAGCAAATTTTATTTCAAGAGAAAAACTTTACATCATACACTCATACATACGTATATGGTTATGTATTCCTTTATTATCTCAGTCAGTATATGAATAAGCACTTGACGTATTCATTTAACCAGATTTGTTGTCTATTGGGCAAAGAAATTTGTGCAAGACTGGATTGAATACGTCTCAGTTTAGAGCATGGCAGAATCCAGGAATTTGGGATAACTGCTGTTCTTCAGAAAGTACTCTTATGTAGGATATTCAGTGACTTTTATTGGGTTAGGAGTAGGAGGTGGACATCCTTTGACCCATTTCTGTACCTTGATTTTAAAATATCTTATGATAAGGTATCACACAGGAGATTAGTCAAGAAAATTACATGAGATAGTGAAATATTATTTAATCAGGTTCTAGGATGACGGGGGGTAGAGAAAAAAGTTGTTAATAATGGAGTACGCTCAAAGTAGACATTGGTTATTAGTGCTGTGCTTCAGGTCAGTTCTTTGGCCTTTGATGTTTCTTATTTACATTAATTATATTGACAGGAGCATCATTAGTAAATTAATAAAATTTCCTAATTACATTAAACTCTTTGGTAGGTTGCATAAAAAGTTAGCAAATGGCCTTTAATTATAGTAAGTGTGTGCATCTGGGTTATAATTGGGATTTCACATTCAATATAGATGGAAACCCAGTTAATAGTATGACTAAATAAAAGGCTGTTGACAAAGTAGTGGAGTAAGATAAGTCATTTGAATCATCAACATAATCATGGGAATCCATACAGGGGGCACTTGCTCCAACCTGGAAAATTAGAAACATAGTTCTTTCTTTATCCATTCAACATATTTACATGAATTTTTTATTCAATTCACAATTCCATGGAGAACTTTGTCCAGTGAGCTGTTCTTATTCCTGTTAAAAGTTTGGAAGCAATGCGTGATGAGGCCACTGCCAAGGCAGTTATCATTCTCTGTCAGATTTTGGCCAAAAAACGATTAATTAGAAAAGTTTTTCTTGTTTCACCTGGAGCAGCCAGAAAAAATATGCTGCCACTCCCATTTAAAATAGCTTCAGTGATTTTGTCAAAGGCTTCTCTTTGGTCTGGGACCAGACATGGCTCATTCTCCTGTATGTATTCAGTAAGTTGGTCCATGTTGTATTTGGTCTCTCTCAGAATCTCATTTGATAACTTTATTATTGTCATGCTGTATCTCAGAGAGACCAAAAGTTTTGACATCAGGGCCACCCAGAGCTTTGATATTGATGTGAGCATTGAACAGTCGAGACAGTAGTGGGCCATTTTTGTTCTCTCTTGTTTCTGGAAATAAGAGGAGTCATAAAAGACAAAATCCATTTATTCAGATAGAATAGGTCGATTACTGTCTGCTCTTTATGATGATGATGATAAAATTATTAAAGTTGTCTAACATATATAAAAGCCAGTTTGTATCACATCAGGCTTGATTTCTCTTGTGACACAGTGTGAGATAACCTAGCCTGGAGCCAAATACATAAAATTTAACATGAAAGTAAAAATATTGATCCAATTTTAAACTTAAATAATAAAAATCAAACCTCTTTAATCAACAGAGACTAAATTAGAAAACTACAATTTTTTTTTCAATTTTGTAGTTATACATTTCATTTTATACTTTCAGCACATAGATTAACAACAATATTAGGTTATACTTGTATTGCTTAGCAACATAACCTAAAAGCCATTGTAGGAATGCATTGTTACCAAAATGCAATGGCTTTTTCTATATATTAGAAGTTGTTATATAAGGAACCACTTCTTTTCTATGTGGTTTTTCACTAGCTTGTCTCATTAAAAAGATGTGCATGCATGTCCTAGTCTGTCTGTGATTTCTATTTGTAATATCAGGAAATACACCATTAACTAATGTTTGTTACAATTATTGTGACAGTATAGATTCTGAAAGACCAACTTAACCACCCCATCACGATGTTGAGAAAAATTGTTCACTGATTTGGTAACTAAAATGTCATTGATAAACCAAAAATTCATACTGAATGTTATTAAGAAAAACTATAGTCATTATTAGATAGCTGAGAAAGTTTCACTGATGCAGTATAATCATTGTTTTGGAAAAAAAAATTGTCACACAAAAGTCAATTCTGCTATTGTCAAGGCAAATAATATTCACTGACTTGGCAACTAAGAAGATATTGTTGGTACACTGAAAAGTTCCTACTGATGTTGTTGATTATTCGTGACTTAATAGTACCTCAGAATTTCATTCATATATCAAAATGTTGGTAACAATATTCACACTTCTTTTATATAGGGTTTTTTCACTAGCTTGTCTCGTAAAAAGATGTGCATGCACGCACACACACGTGTGTCTATCTGACTGTGATTTCTGTTTGTAATATATGGAATCACTTCTTTTCTATGTGGTTTTTCACTAGCTTTCCTCATTAAAAAGATGTGCATGCATGCAGATAAGTAACAATACCCAGGTGCACACCCTCAGGGTCCACTTAGTATGGGTGCAAAATTTCATGTTTCTAGGTTCTTTCCTCTTGGAGTTATGGTAGTCACACACAGACTCACCCTATTATTATTATACATTTATATAAATATTTCCAAGTGGAAGCACTTTTTGATAAGACAATCTTTCCGTGCCATCAACATTTAGCCACATTGTTTGTTTTTCTCTCGGTGAGATTAATTATTTCAACATAATAAATAAATAATGTCTTAGTTTGGTTAGTTATTCCTAAAAGCAACTTTGCTCTGAAAAAGAAATGCTTTTTGAAAGAAGCAAATGTTCTGTTGTCCTGATGAAAAATTAATAAGTGGAATACCTGATACCCTTCAATACAACCCTGAGAATAACAGATATTAAAATTGCTACATTAAAATGGCAATGACACTTTTAGGTGTTCCAGGGAGAAAACTTTAACGGGTGTCTAAAAACTGAGGTTGTTCATGGAAATCCAAGAGATGTAACTTTGATAACTCTGTATGCTAGGTTTAATTATGACTTGCTTGAAAGACATTTATAATGGCATTTGATATAGATGTTGTTGAATGTGATCTTAATTTTCATTGGAGTGCATTAATCAAAATATTGAATTAAAACTCTCTGATATTTTGAACTAATAATCAATATGACATGTATTAGCCATGTGATAAATAATACAAGTCAATGCAGTGCCAGGAGTCTGACCAGCGTAGAACACAATACTTCTCGTGGCTTTATCTGACCAAGAACATCAGTAAAAGGATATTTCTGCCTGTTTAATTTGTACAACCAATAACGGCATCACAATTTTTGTAATTGGAAATGAGGGAGGTTCAAGTGAAGCTCAGTGGAGGAATTATAAACTTATGATGTGTGGAAACTACCCTGCAGGTAATAACCCACTGTATGGAAGTTTACATAGATGTGGGACCTTCATTAAGTTAGTTTTCTTAAATGAAGAGAAATTAAGTGTCAGAGATGAATCTTTTCATTAAACAAGAGATTCAAGGGATAATATTTTCAGATCTAGGAGCCAGCCCAAAAACTCGGGAGCCAGGTGTGCCTAACCTAATTTCACTACTATTGTTTGTACCAGGAAATGGGGGGGGGGGCTAGTTACAATTATTCACTTTTACAGCAACAAGTGCATGCTAGTGACCACGTGATATCAACATCCACTTATTTCCTGAACTAACTGCCTTTGGTCCTGTCTGAGTATAAACGTGTGCACTGATTGATTGAATTGAAAGAAAGAAGAAAAACAAAATGGTGCAAAATTACTAACTTGTTGCTACCGCAGTATTTCATTTATGAAAAAACGTGAAGTAGTTCTGAATCCACCATTAAAATCCTAGGAACAAAGTTGGATTTAGGACTCAAAGAACACAAAAATAGTTCTGGACTTCTAAGAGTCCAGAACTGTTCTAGATTCAAGTTCCATATAGCACAGCCCTACGCTTAAATAAAATGAGAGAAAATACAGGGCTCCATGATGAAAGTTTTAGTCGCCACGGTGACCTGGTGCCCCGTGATTTGTCGAGGCCTACCTTAAACTGAAGTGTTGTATTTTTTGTTCTGTGTGCCTCTAATAAGTCGTTTTGTATTTCTGATCATAATTCCAAAGAAGAATGTACAGAATGAACTCTTAAAATCTGAGATGATTCCCAAGTTGATTTTGTTTCAAAGTTCCATTTTGGATATACAAATGTTAATGCGTACAAGCTTCCCATGTTACATTATATAGTAACTTCCATCCATAGTTTTTACCTCTACACCACAATGATAATTCAGTCTGTAATTTTTGGCCCGTAACAAGCTGCATGTTTCAGTAATGCTTGGCCTGTACAGCAAGTCCATATTTACTAGGCTATGGTGAAATTGCATGTTTTCAAGATTTAACCATTGTTTAGGGGTATACTTTTAAGTTTCTAGATATTTCATAAATGGGTTGATAACTTCCCAGTATACCTTATTTACATTTATGAACACACAGTTTATACATGTGTATGTTTGAGCATGCATTAAGTGGTATTAAACTTTATTTTCAGAAATTGGAAATCACAGTTTAGGTATTTGCAGCCATACAGTAGTAACAAGACTATGGCTAGAGCCTCATGTTGTTGATGAAGACAGCTTGTTTATAGGTATTTCTCAACATATCATGGATCCAGTTGCCAGTTCACATACACCAGAAACTGAGTGAGTACATATACATGAAATTTAAAGTAATTATCTCGTGTTGAAAAATGCTACATAACAGAAACATAAGATCGTTCATTGTTTATGTTTGATTTTTTTTTTTCTCCATAGAAAAGTCTCAGTTCCTGAAAAAAGCAAGTTACAATTTATCATGACTTGCTAACTTTTTTTTTGTCTGTAATAAAACCATAAGATGTATAAACAGCTGTTGGAACACGGAAAGCTTTTGGGGATATATTTTCTTTCATAGTTATTCAATCTCATTACATTAGCTAGTTGATAATAACATTTTGTATTTATGTAGTGTGAAAGTACATGTGGTTTAGAAGAAAAAACATGTATAATTAGGTTTGTTCCCCAGTTACTCATTGGTAAGCTTCAGGACCTGTAATGCAAAAATTTGGGGCTTAGCCATGAGGTGGATGATGTTCAGGTAGTCCATTGTGTAGTTTTATTGTGAAAGGCTGAAGTCATACAAAGGTCTAGGTTGATAAGGATCTTATAAAAGGTGCAACAAGAAAAAGAACCTTAATAAACTTGAAAAAGTTTTAGGAATTACAATTTTGTGGATGGGAAGAGGTGTGCTCTCCTCGATACCCATCTCGCTTTCAGAGAGATGGGTATTTTGGCCAGAGTTGAGAATGATGATCTCCGTTGCTAAATTAGATAGTACCGTATAACTCACAGGGTAAAGCCTTGAGCTAAATCCGTGTTACTTGTGATTGGCTAGTGTAATCTTCTCAGCTTATTTGTGGGTATCAACCATTTTTCAGTTTGTGTAATTATCCTGTCCTTGAGCTTCGGTTTCCACATTTCCTAAAGATGATCCATATTTAAACATTTGAAGTACAAAAATATTTGTAATTTTTCTTTTTTTATGAATATATTTTGAATATGGTTCCACAAAGTAGTGAACTACAAGTTCTACAGGGATTCCACTCTGAAATGTATGTTTATCGACACTTATAATGGCATAACTTTTAAAAGATCAATCCATTACCATTCATACAATGTCAGTTCAAGATATTTAGAATCTAAATGAAATACAACCACTGCTAAAATAGGAATATCTATGCAAGGCAAAACAGCGATATTGTAACGGTGAGTGTACAATAAAGTCCATTAATAGTCCGATCATGGCTAGACAAGTATTGTGCTTACTCCCTAGTGTTCCAGTGTAACTTAAGCATAATTTATGATGGCATAAATGATGCAAGTTGACACATAAATAATACTGAACACGCAAGCAACTGAATTTTGGAATAAAGCAGACAAAAATAATTAAATTTTTGTTACTGCTTCAACTGACCTTGACATTACCTGAACCAGTAATTTTTACTATGTTTAGAAAACTAGTTTTCTGTTAGCAGATGAAAAGGAAATAACTTACAGTTATACGAGTTTCGTGTACTTGTTAACCTTTGAAAGTATTTATGCATTTTTACTTTTAAATTTATTGTGTTTACTGAGCAAGTACATAAAATAGCTTTGTGTGGAATATCCGAGCTATTGGAATTTTTGTGCTTGTTTCTTTTTAACATGAGAATTTTTTAATGGAGGGTTAAAAAATTATGTTCGTCACAAGTCAACTGTATATTCTTCCAAATTTTGATCTCATTTGCTTATAAGATTGGAAGAAGGCTAAAATAATTTAACTCTTTTTCACTACGTCCTTCACTCTGGGTTGGTCAAAGTGTGCATGTCATGACCTTTTACAGTGTTACATTCAAAATGTAATTAAACTTTATTATTAATATAAATCAACAAATTTTAATGGAAATGTAGTTTATAATTCAAATTTTTATATTTCCTAGCTTTTAACTTCTTAATTTCAAAAATAAATATTTAAAAAATATAAAATTTCATTCTCGAGTATCACATGATGCATCTAAGGTTCAGTTTCTCCAGTTCACAATTTTCTAACTTCTAAGATAAGCTGCTGAAGATTCCAACCAACTAGAAACACACTCTATACATAATTACAAGCAGGAAACTGAAATTTGAACCTCCTACCTTCATGATTTGTTAATATATCCATAAATTTGTGAAACCCACCTTATTGCTATGCTTTTCAAAATTTTTTACTAATCTATCTTACATAGCTGATGGACTTGTTTGTAACCAGTTGAAAAAGTTTCTCTTCTGTTTAAATTTTACAATTTTGTATTCAAGTTTGGTACCATAAGCCATTAATTAAGAAATATTGTTTAGTTTGTGTGTTAATTATATTTGCTGCTCAAAAACAATAACAGAATTATTTTAACCTATTTACGGCTTACTTAGAAAGCCGTATAAGTTATAGTAGTTTTAGCATAGTATAGTCTAGTGACTGATATATAATTTTTGTGTTGTAAAAAATCTTATTTGAAAGCTACATCCATTTGTTTTTGGACACCAAATATTGTGAGACTCGTCAAGGCTTAGCAAAGAAAGTCTTAAGGCTTTGCTCGAGTGTAAATGGTGCAAATATGCAGTGACTACTACACGCTCTTGTTTTTTATTTATTGTTATATATTTTTCAACAAAAGTAACTAAAATATAAAGATTATAAACTTTTCATGTAACGAAACTAGTTAACTAAATAAAAGGTCTAAAATTTCACAAGCTTGGGTGAGGTGAGAAACATGATTCTCACATCGTGTACTATATATGTTAGCTTTATGGGAAAAACAGCTAATGAGCTCCCACTGTGATTTATTGCTTTTCGTGCGAGGATTACAATTGTTCCAGTGGCTACAATATAAATCAATAAAACCGTAAAATGAAAGGAAAATAATATAAGTAACTTGAAACTTTCTGATCAATACTGTAACCAGTGCAAAAGAAAAAATGGTATTCATTTTATTTGGTGGTTTTTCAAATTTTTGTTTCACTGAATGTTGACTTTCCTACATTTAGCATTAGGGTAGAAAATAGATACATAGTTTTACTGAAAAAAAACTTTTGATATTAATATAGGAGACTCTAGAAATATGAAATGATGTTTTTTTTTATTCTTAATATATAACTCAACCTTTATGCAAACTGATTTAGTAATGGTTTTGGAAATTTACAGAGATCTTTAATACTGAAAGGTTAAATGTCTACTCTTTTTTTTTTTGGAAAAATGTTGAGGCTGTGTTTTAATGTCCACAAAAAGAATGGAATATCATATTGAGTTGAATGAAAATTAGACAAAATTTCTGTAATTTTGTTAACACTTGCAGAGTTAAAACTTTTCAAAGTATTCACTGTTAAAGTTGATCTGTTGTTGGCATGGTACCTACCTAACTGATTAACGGAAGTCTTTGTAGCAACTTTGATGCTTTGAAAATCCACTTAGAGCTTGTGGTTTTGTTGTTGGCAAAAAGTAAGATCAGATCCATCTTGATGGTGCTGTAGTTTTCGGAATCTTCAGTCAAGCACATTATAACAGTTCAGGAATCTGAAGAAAAACTTCATTTGAGGCAACTTATTAATCAGTGCATTGGTTCGTAGACTATAGATAAATTTCTAAGATAAAGAAATGTCTGTACTCTTCTAAGTATTTCAACCAATTTCCTTCTGAGGCATTCTAACCAAATCTTATAATAGAGGTGAACCTATTTATATCCTAGACTTTTCTGTGCAACAACTTACAGTTAATACACTCCTCTCATTGGGTGCCATTTCTGCTTGTATATATAACTATTCAATCACAATAGAGTTTAATTTATACTCTTTTTGTGTGTTATCAATCTACTACACTGTGTGCCTGAGCTATTATGTAGGGATGATGCAAATACCATCACTTCATTTAGTTCCTATTTGAAGAAGTTTTTTTATTTACTTTATCTTGTGTCCAAGAGGACTCTAGGGAATTTCTAAACTTGTGAAGATGACAAGTAATTCTTGTAAAGACAGGAAGGAACTGACTCACCTTTGAGAAACCTGAGGGTGGATTTATCAACTCTATCATTTTATAGAACCTTATTTTGCCAAGAATGCATCTTTTTTTTTTAAGCCTTACTTTCTGAGTTAACGAAACTACAGAAAGTTAACAAACACCAATAAAACTACATTTTGTTAGAGCTATTCAGGTGGCAATCCTACCCTAGGGTATTAAAGATAACTGTCTTTCTTACAGGCATGTGGTTGTTGAGTGCCGAATGGCAAACTTGCATTTTGTCAGCCAACACCACAAGGAAAACTTGGTAGTTCTCATTAGAAACAAAACTGAAACCTAATATGAAATAAACACTACTGTCTGAAACTTTTGTGCAATTATATTGTACTTGAAAGAGTAAGTGATGAATATGAGTGATTCATGAAAGTGAGAATGAGTGACTAATGACAAAAGGAAAACAATTTTGGATTATGTGTGAAGGATTTCTGGTTGGATTTTGATCAGTTAGTGAGAAGTGTGATATATGTTGTATTTATGCTGTTAGATACTAGTTAGTTTTTTATTGTGTAGCCAGTTATCATATAATTAAGTGTGAATGTAATATCTAAGACTCCTCAAAGCAAGAGGAATTTGATTTTGAAAGTTTGTGTATTTTTAGTTCAAAGTTATCCTCTGTATATTCAATTAAACACATTTTGTGTTTATTGGTAGTAACCACTGATAAGCTTGGTGATTTAATCAGTATAATTAACTATGAGCTGTGATTACATTAATTAGTGTTTTTGATTATTCCAACAATCGATTAATCAAACTTTGGGTTTTTGGTTATTTCAAATATCCAAGCATTTTAAATACTGCTATTTGTTGTTAAATACCAACCTACATAATGAGAGGGTTAGGGAGTGATTCCTGTTTCCAGTTGCCACTAAATTTAGTATTCCTTTCTTATTACAAAGTTATTTTGAAGTGCCGGCTAGAGGGAAGGCAAGTGGCTGGTAAGACCACTACCAAATCTCTGGCTACTTGAGTATTAAATAAAATGTAAACTTACTATTTTTTTTACACTGTGTTATGTTTCTTATTCATAACTGTGTAGCTGTTTTCTTTAATGCTGTATAGGCAGTTGGGGTTTGGG